TTGAACTATATACTTACCCCCCCCCCCCCCCGCCCCCCACACACTCAGGTGGGGTATATAGTTCAACCCCCCCCTTCCCCCCGACTCGGGGTGGGGGGGGGTATATAGGGTGGGGTATATAGTTCACCACCCCCCTTCCCCCCGACTCGGGGCGGGGGGGGGTATATAGTTCAACGGTGCTTGTGCCATCATTACCTCTTCGAGGGAGGACACTCTGACAGCCCTACGGCGTCTTCACCCGAATAGAACGCCCGGTCATTATAGTATAATGACCTGCATTTGGCACAGCTTTCAGCCCAGATACGGCGATAATGACCGGGCGTTCAATTCGGGTGAAGACGGTAGGAGGACACACTCTAAAAGAGAGTCTTCATGCTGTCTTTGGGCCGTGCAGGCCCAAATTCGTTTCCGTTATTTGGGATGTGAATGCACCTAGCCAGGAATACAGTCCACGTTCGTTTCAAGTTCTAGTGAGGTGCCTGTCGCCTACCGTCTTCGCCCGAATAGAACGCCCGGTCATTTTAGTATAATGACCTGCATTTGGCACAGCTTTCAGCCCAGATACGGCGATTATTACCGGGCGTTCTATTCGGGTGAAGACGGTAGTATGAGAAGCGTTTCACTGAGGGGTGTCTTATTTCTCCATTTTTTATTTTTTTGTTTTTAATCTCGATTCGATTCGAAAATATGGACAAAAGCTTTCAGTAGCATTTGGTTCTTCATTTTACTTTTCGGAAAATAGGGAAAAAAAGCTTTGTTTTGATTTTTTTATTCGCAAAAAAACGTGTCACACCGTTGAGCTAGAGTTCAACTCGGATTAAAAAAAAAAAAAAAAAAAAAAAAAGAGTTCAACTCAAATTGTGTATGTGGGGGACTTGGCCCCCCGTGAAGTTGATTAGCCGTATTGACACGTGGCCATACTGAGACTCGGCAATATTGACACGTGGTTATATTGACAAAAACGCAACACACGTGGCGGCAGGTCTTGCAAAACCCCACACGTGGCGATATATTGGACAGACAAGTCCATCCATGAAAGCGGACACGTGGCAGTGACCTGGCAGTTGGGACTGATGAGATGGCAGTGTCGGCTGACGTGGCAGGTTTAGACTGACTGCTATGAGGGGAACAGTTTTTTTGGGTTTTTTTTTTCCCCTTTCTGACGCATTTCTTCTTCCCATCTCTTTTTTCTTTTTTTCCTTTTTTTTCTGGACGCATTACTTCTTACCATCTTTTTTTCTTTTCTTTTTTTTCTGGACGCATTACTTCTTACCATTTTATTTTTTTTTTCCTTTTTTTCGGGTGAGGTAGGGTTAGCGACGTGGCGACATCGAAACGTTTGCAAAATTGTCACGTGGCAGCTGGATGTCACGTGACATTTTTTTCAGAGACGCCATGTGGCATCCCACGAGCTGCCACGTCAGCTCGGGGGGATGCCGCGTCGCATCCCCACGTGGCAGGTTTAGATTGGAGGAGGGATGGGAACAGGGCGTGATCACCGAGCTGACGTGGCAGGGAGTGCAACCTGGAATTTTTTAGAAAATGCCACGTTTTCTTTTTAATGCTACGTGGCATCCCTTTGAGCTGCCACGTCAGCTCCGGGGGATGCCACGTGGCATCCCCCCGTGGCAGGCAGATTTTACCGTTTTAGATTTTGCAGGAGGGGAGGAACAGGAGGCTTGATCACCCCGCTGACGTGGCAAGGGGGGTGGGTACTCTGGACAAGGGGGATGCCCGGTGGGATTTTTTTTAAATACCACGTAGCATTTGTTTTACATGGAGGGCGGTGTCCGCTGACGTGGCATCCAGCTTGTCCTGCGTACCTACCCCCCTGCTGGCAGTGTCGGCTAACGTCGCAGGGGGGGGTAGGTATTCTGGACAAGGGATATGCCACGTGGCATTTGTCTAAATACCACGTGGCAGTTTTCTCAATAGCACGTGGCATTTTTTTTACATGGAGGGCGGTGTCCGCTGGCGTGGCATCCAGCTTGTCCAGAGTGCCTACCCCCCATGTTGGCAGTGTCGGCTGACGTGGCAGGGGGAGTTAGGTGCTCTGGACAAGGACGATGCCACGTGGCTTTCTTTTAAATGATGAAGGGCATTGATCGGGCAGTTGAAACGATTGACGACAGGCCTGGGTCACTGGCTCACGTGGCGGGTTGAGGGTGCTGCTGGCAAAAAGGGGGTTGGGGGTTTGGGGGGTGCTGGTGGGGGGGGGGGTTGGGGGGGCTTGTTTTGTTGATGCATGGGGGGGGGCGGGGGGGTTGGGGGTTTGGGGGGTGCTGGTGGGGGGGGGGGTTGGGGGGGCTTGTTTTGTTGATGCATGGGGGGGGGCGGGGGGGTTGGGGGTTTGGGGGGTTGGGGAGGGGGGGGGGGAAGGGGGGCGCGGGGAGGCCTTCTTTCACTCCAGAATAGAATGGCTGGTCATTATCCCTTGCATCTGGACTGCAAATTGCTCCAAGTGCAGTTATAGAATAAATGGGCATTCTATTCGGGTCGTGACATTGGATCTGGCAAACAAGGGGAGTTTGATGGGGCTTCTTCCTTCTTTTTGAATTTATTTTCCTCTGATTTTTTATTTTTATTTTTTTAACTTATTTTCAATTTCTTATCCTCTCATTCTTTTTTCTTCCTTCAATTTTCTTTTTTCTTTTTCTTTTGTTTTCAAAAAAGTTCTTTAGAAAAAAAAATTCCCGCCGCGAGATGGCAGGAGAGGAGGGCAAGAAAGGGATAGCCACGGGAGATCAGCAGCAGGAGGAGGTGGTGGTCCTGCGGTGGAAGGACAGCACCGCTGGGATCGGGCTGGGAGGTGGAGGAACGAGGGAAAACAGTAGGAAGAGGAGGAGGAGGGAAGAGGGAGGAGGAGGAAGGAGGAGGAGGAGGAGGAGGGAGGAGGAGGAATAGGACAACGAAAGGAGGGAGGTCGCGATCGAGATGTGGAAAGTGGGGTGAGGTTAGGAGTCATCCGGAACGTAAGGTCGGGATCGGGGAACGTCGATTAAGACCGTAGTAGCCAAACAGAATCAGCTGTCCGTCCGGAAAAATAAATAAATAAATAATAATAATAACTTGTGCAAAAGTAAAACAGTTTCAATGGGCGCTTTCTTTTTTAATTACCCCCTCTTTGGGGCATTCAACTTTTCTTTTTTCTTTTTTTTTTTGGCATTCAACTTCTGACGTTCCTGGCCGCAATTTTGGCCCTTTCTGAACCGAATCGTCAGGGCTTACCTACCGGCTTCCCGCCAAAATTACCCTCCTACTGGCGGGAAATGGGTAAGCCCTGACGATTTCGGTTCAAAAAGCGCCAAAATCGCGACCAGGAACGTCACAATTAAATGCCACCCCCCAAACGGGGGTAATTATTTTATTTAGTAATAATTATATCTTTCGTATCGTGCAAGTCTGCATATTAGACCAGTCAGCTATTTTCAATTGATTTTTTTTCCCCAATAAAAGCAATAAAATATAGCTAATCCTAGCACACCATACTCACACCATAAATAGGTAAAAAAAAAACTGAACAAAAAAATTTTGAAACCGAAAATTGTCTGGAGGCAGCGAGATCGGAGGAGGTGGGAGGAGGTGGGAGGAGGTGGGAGGAGGTGGGAGGAGGTGGGAGGAGGTGGGAGGAGGTGAGAGGAGGTGGGAGGAGGTGGAGAGGAGGTGGGAGGAGGTGGAGAGGAGATCAGGGTTGGTGACAGTGGGAGTGGGAGTGGGAGTGAAGGCGAGCGAGGGCTGGATGGGGAAGTCGAGACACCATAGCCAAACAGAGAAGTGTCCAGGAGGAAGAGGAGGAGGAGGAGGAGGAGGAGGGAGGAGGGAGGAGGGAGGAGGGAGGAGGGATCCCCCCCGTCTTTCTCCAACAGCTCATCATCGGTCTAGAACAACTAATCTGCCTTCACAGCTCGCATGTAAAAAAATAATATAGTAATAAATAAATAAGAAAAATCTGCCAATGTAATGGCAGCATCGAGATCGGGACGAAGAGGGGAGTCGGAACGAAGTGGAGGACAGGAGGAGAGAGGAAGCAGGCGAAACGGTCGGGATCCCTGTCCCCGTAAGATCCATCCCCTACCTCCTCTGCCCCTCCTCACCATGAACCTGTCTCTTATACACATCTAGATGTGTATAAGAGACAGGGGTAAAGGGGGGGGGGAAGGGGAGCGAAATGGTCGGGATCTCATCTCGACTGCTTGATTGTTTTGCTGATCAGACTAATATCTGATCCGTGGTCAATCGGACCATTTATCAAAAGGCAAAAAAAAAAAAAAAGAGGAGAAATAGAATTAGCCATGGCGGAGGAGGATGACACAATGAATGGAGCATTTAACATATAAAAGGCTATGGAGGACGCATCGTCTCTCCTCTATGGCTAACTCTTTCTTCAAATCCAGTCAGTATTTCAAGACGGCCATCGCTGAGAATCGTACGGTCGAGAAGAACCTTTTGATCATCACCTTCCTAATTATCATGGTTGGATGAAAAAGCTGCGGCCAAAAAAAAAAAAAAAAAAAAAGCAGCAGCAGCAGCAGCAGAACGAGGAGGAGGACGAGGAGGAGGAGGTGGAGGCGGAGGAGGACGAGGAGGAGGAGGAGATGGAGGGAAGGAAACAGAAGAGGAGAAAGAAGAGCAGAAAAAAGAAGAGAGAAGGAAGAGGAACAGGAGAAAGACTTCAGGAGGAGGAAGAGGAACAGGAGGAAGACTTCAGGAGGAGGAAGAGGAACAGGAGGAAAACGATGACGATCCATAACCATAAGTTGTGTGGTAAGGAAGGAGGAGGAGAGAAGAAGCAGAAGAAGGAGGAGGAGTATGTGGAGAAAAAGAAGGTAGGAGGAGAAGAGAGAGAGAGGAGGAGGAGGAAGATGAGGTGAAAGAAGAAGAGGAGAACGATGAAGAACCATATCCATAAGCTGTGTGACAAAGAGGTGGTAGAAGAAGCAGAAGAAGCAGAAGAAGGAGAGGAAGCAGGAGGAGGAGGAGGAGGAGGAGGAGGAAAGTACCTGTCCCCTCTCATCAAACAACAGGAGCTTCGTCCAAGCATCAAAGGAATGTAGTGATCGTGATGTTTCCCCTCAAGTCCCGATCGGGACGTTGATACAATGGCAAGCTAGCGAGACGTTGTCGCTACTGCACTGAGAGTGCCACCAGATCAGTCCCGATCGGGACGTACCTATCCTACACGTGGGATCCAATGAGCTCCATCTTGCTTGATATACGACATCCAATGCCCTTCCTCCGGGTACCACCTCCTCCTCCTCCTCCTCCTCCTCCTCCTCCTCCTAAAACCCTTGATCACTCCGTTGTGATGACGTGGCACTGTTATGGCCGAGATCACTGGTTCGATTCCCTGTGACTGCTGATTGATCCTGGCAGGATACTGACACGATGACGTGGCAGGTCGTCAAGCCTGCGATGACGTTATCGAGGTCCTCAAGCCTTCCTAGTCATCAAGGCTTGATGGGATGACTAGGAATGGCGGAGTGATCAGGCCTCTATCTGATCAGTGATTACCCATCAAGCCACGATGACGTGGCAGGCTGTCAAGCCTCGAAGACGTGGCAAGTGGTCAAAGCTCGATGACGTGGGAGGTCGTCAAGTCTTCATGAGCTGGCGCTCTCCATCTCCTACCAGGGTATAGCCGTGTTGATCAGGCATAGCGTGGCTTGGCTTGGCGTGTAGTGAGTGAGGGCGTACTCACACCCCGGCGGTATTTTTCCGACAGACCTCTAGTTGCGATCGCGGTCAGATCCATACACTGCTTCGGGGCCTGAAATGAGGTCGAATGCACCCGGTATATCCTCGACGTCCTTTACTGTGATCGTCCTCTCAGGAGTGCTTGTCCTCCCTTGTTGGCCATTGCGACCCTCTCTAGTAGCACCAAGCTGAAGCTACCGGCGGCTAAGGGTCTCATCACACGCTACTTACAGTAAGGGCCTCGTTAGACACTCCTGGGGGATGCAATCCCAAGAATTTAGGGCCTCCTGGGGGATGCAATTCCCAGGATTTAGGGCCTCCTTAGGGCCTCGTTCCACACCACTTGAGTTCAAGAGGGAAGCACAAAATCATCTTCCCACCCCCTCCTTAGAGCTACCCGCTTTGTTTTCACTTTTCTGCGTCTCAAGGGGCAACGCAGCCAAAACAAAAAAACAAAAAAAACAAACAAAAAAAAAATTGTCCTTGAATTCAAGCCACCTCCTGGAGGTACCTTGAGTTCAAGTGCCAGCCTATACCGCCAGCACTGGCACTGCAAGTGGGGCCCTTTTTTGTTTTTTGTTTTTTTCCAGCAGGCGATCCTGGTCCACGATTGGTCAAGCCGTGGAGTTCGGTTTCAAGTGCAGCCTGTTCATGGGTTTCCTCAAGTGTACATAGAACCAGAAATAGAGTAAGTGTAAATTAATCACAAGTTCTCGTTTAGAGTGCACTGAAACTCAAGTATTTTTTCAAGTGGTGCTGAAAGAGGCTCTTAGTCCTTGTTCCACCTGTCCTCGGCGTCTATTTCCGAAAAGAAAATGTGAAAACACTCTGAGGACAAATCCTCGGGCTCCAACGGGAGCCTGAGGATTTCCTAGGCAAATCCTCCTTGCCTCCGAGGGACCTCGCGAGGTTTTTTGGAGGCCGAGGCGGCGTCGACCTTCGAAGGAAATCTAAAGGCGGTAGGTTGTCCAGTCGTTGTCCGGCAGCCCAAACATGGGCCGACGTATCGTGTATCGTGGGCCAACGTCTCATGGCGGCGATCGCGTATCATGGGCCGACGTCGTCGAAGAGGACCTGTAACGGCCTCTTCAGTCTACCGTTGGCGGCGATCCACGCCGCGACGCTTGGACATCTTCAGGCGGCCCGTGGAGGGGCCTCTTGGCGACCTGCGGACATCTTTGGCCGGCTCGTCTAGGCCTCATGCCGTTCAAACGGGCCTTTCAACGGTCACAATTTCGGATTGCGTAGCCATCCTCCCGACAAGGAGGCCCGTGCACGAATGTGGTGTTGTTGTCTTCCCGATTAGCGTGTGTCGACACTTATGACAGATGTGACACACGTTTGTGCGTGTGCTGTCTTTACTCCACTATCGTTCAGGGCAGACCTGCACCGCAGGCTGTCTCTGTTGATGCTCATTGTTCTGCTGCTCGTCATCATTATAGTCTTCCACATTTGTTTTTTGGGCCACCTTCCTGGAAGGAAACCGACGAGGCGATTGTCGAAGAAGGTGAGGACATGGACAACCGTCTGACGAACAGCGCGCTAGCAGCAAGGCTGGGTGGATCTTTACGACAAAGATCTACTAGCGTGCAGGGTGGCAGCCAGCCATACGATCCGACGTTGTATAGCCACCTACAATCGCATGAGATTTCATTGTCTCCAAGTGATGACTAGGGAGAGGAACATCGACCTTCAACGGTTCCTCTCGGCAGCGGTTCCACACGGGATTGGATGGGGAGCTAGTTCTTCAAACGTTCGACGAGACCGACGAACACAGAGTTGTTGGAGGGACAGACCCCGACTAGCTACAACACACGAGTTGTGGATCTGAGCTTCGGTCTTGGGTCTGGCAGTGGGCAGAACGTCACACATATCGTCGTCGTCAACCCAGCTACAAGCGACATCCTCTCGAAGTCGGCGGCGAGGGCCGGGGGGGGGGGGGCGGACATCTGTGCTGGGTGTTACCGGACGATGGGCAGGGGGCGTGATTTCGTTTTACCGGTGAGGGCTGGGGGTGGGAGCACTGCAGGCGCAGGTGCTTTGACGACGAAGACAGCAAGAGTTGGGGACGCACAATGATGCAATCGATAGGCGGCGGATCGTTGACGACTAGTCGGCGACGGAGGTCGTGGGCTGACAGTTTTGGAACGATCGACAACAACAAATGCAACAACCGAGCACTTTGGACATAACAAAAGGGGTCGCCAACATGCACATAGGAGAGGACGACACGTACGTGGATTGTGATGGTGGGCGTGGTGAAGAATGCGGTGCGGGTGAGGTCGGTCTTGACGACAAGGCGACGAGGAGGAATTGGACATTCGACTGGTGGGAAGGAAAAGAGGCGGATGCCGAGCCAGACAAAGGTCGATGAACCACAAGCAGGGCGGCAAGGCAAGAAGGCTGTACAGGACGGTACCGCGAGCAATGACGCCAATCACAAGAATTTGTGGATGATGAAGCATATGATTGCTCTCGTTCGAGCGAAAAGAAATCAGGATTTGCATCTCAACGGATTGGGACACAACTATGGACGCATGAAATCAAAGACTTGGAAGTGGGACGACGTCGTGAAGAGGCTCGTGAAGATGGGGATGACAACCAAGAAGGTTGTGGACTGCGGGAAGAAATGAGACAACCATTTTCAACAGTTTAAGACAATTTACAAGTTATTGGCGAATTCGGGAAGGAGGACTTCTCCGCACTTACGCCGCAAGAGAGGAAGGAGAAAGGTTTTGAGTTCCGAATGGACCGCCGTGTGTATGAGGAGATGAAGGTGATGTCGGAGGGACATCGAACTATACACCCGGCGAATCTTAGGGACACGGGCGCACCTGGAGGGGTTCAGTTGGTCGGGGCCAATGCCGGTCGGAAAGAATCCGTGGCTAGTGAGGGAGGCAGGGATGGTCAGGACAATGAGAAGGGATCAACGAAGGAGTCATCCTTTAGCGTGGGTAGCGGGGGTGGTGGATTCAAATGAAAGAATGTAAGGCAACAGACCTTCGAGGTGGTCGTGGACGTCATGTACAAGCACGGGAAGTTGATGGCGCCGACAGTTGACGGCGCGAGCAAGAGGCAGTGCTCCGTTTTGATGAGGCATTGCGACATTCTTGAAAGAGAGGTGGACGTGCAGAAGGAGCACTACGAAAAGGCTGACCAAGTGAAGTTGATGGTATGCAACGCCCTGCTGGAGATTGCGAAGGTCATCCACGAGAGATCTTGACTTACCATCAACGCCCTGTTGGAGATTGCGAAGGCCATCCACGAGAGATCTTGACATCATGGGCTTACACATCTCCGATGTCGGCCTTTTCACCACGTCCGTTGTTTAGCGCCCACGTCCTTATCGAGTGCGTTCTTTTGCAGTCGTTTCGTCTTCCTGTTGCCGTCCAGTTCTAGAGATGGTCCGAGTCAGCAGAGGTGCACACAGTGCCCTCCACTTCGGGACAATATTACATTTACAATTTGGAAGCCGCCATCGTTGTGCATGCTGCACTGTTAAGCGAGGGTGATTCTGTGGAGACAGGAGGGTGATAAAGTTGTTGATGGTTGTGCGTCGTTTTTTTTTGGCCAATTGTTTTACGTGTGATGACAATCACATTCATCCACGCATCATAGAAGTGCAATGGAGGCCGTGCAGCCCGTTGGTCCTCCTTTTCCGCTAATGCATCGTCCCGTATGGTTTTTCGGGTGTGCTACGTTGATGCTCACACGAGACGTAATTTTAAGAAAAATGGCATTCTTTGTAATCTGTTTCATGGCCGCCATAATATGTGACACACGATTGGTCCGCTGCAGTCCGTTAATGCAGGCAAAGTATGAAAAACAAATGTGTGGTCATAAGAACCCATTCAACAAATTTTTTGGTTGGCCTTTTTGTCTGTGCATGGATGACACCACCTTCGGTTTTTTTTTTTTTTTTTTTTTTAATATCTTTGTACAAGCCATCCCGCTTCTATGTTTGTTTAAGGATTTCAAGCAATCCTTGCTTCAAGTTGAGGTTGTCGTTCGTCGAGAAAAGTGGACCGACAACAAAATTACGAAATGAGCGAAGGAAAAACTGGTTTGCGGTAATGGTGAATGCTCATGGCACGTGGTTTGTGTGCTGATTTTGATTGATGTTTCCGTGCATGACGGCTATAAACAAAAGGTTGTCCTACAAATCACAAACAAACACAAAAAAAAAATACAGGCACACACAACTTGAAACACACATACACACACACACACACACACACACACACATACACACACATATACATACGCACAGAGATGGTCATTCCGCACTCCATCTACCCTGTCGTCACCGACGACACCGTCACACTGTTTTGCCCGTCTTCAAGGGAGATGTGGTGGAACGCATATTTGTTGTCTAGGAGAATGTG